GAAAAAGAGGATAAATAAGTATACAAGATATGATGTAGGGCGAAATGACAGTAGTTTGTGGATTATGTATTGGTAGATAAAAGACTGTTGAGTAGACCTCAGGATGTACATGTTTATAGAGGGGACACAGATATATCAGATCACTTTCTAGTTGTAGCTACACTGAGAGTAAAAGGTAGATGGGATACAAGGAGAATAGAAGCATCAGGGAAGAGAGTGGTGAAGGTTTATAAACTAAAAGAGGAGGCAGTTAGGGTAAGATATAAACAGCTATTGGAGGATAGATGGGCTAATGAGAGCATAGGCAATGGGGTCGAAGAGGAGGGGGGAGGTTTAAAAAATTTTAATTTTTAGGTTTTTTCGGGCAGAATTTTTTGGGGTTTTCAGGAAAGGGGTTTGGCGGGGAGGGAAGGGGGGAAACGTTTTGGTGGAATGATGAGGGAAAAGGGAGTAGAAAAGGGAAGAAAAAGTTAGCAATGAGAAGTTTTTACAAATTTAGAAGTGATGAAAGGGGGGGAAGAGTATATGGAAAAAAAGAGAGAGGTTAAGAGAGGGGGTAAAAAGAATGAAAAAAGAGAGCAAATGGAGAGGGGGTTTGGGGATGTTACAAAAAATTTTTGTTGGGAAAAATAAAAAAAAATTTTTGGGAGTGGGGTTTAACAATTTTAAAAAACCCTAGAGAAAAAATTTGGATTTGTCATTTAAAAAATTGGAGAGGAGAGTTATTAAAGGGGGTTTTGGAGGTTTTGGGGAAGGGATGGAGGGAATTTTTTGGGAGGAATTTTTAAAATGTTGATGAAGATGGGGAAAAGCTTGATTTCTTTGAATAGGGCAAGGAGGAAAACCCTCTTTTTGGGTAAAGGAAGACCGTTGTGTGGTGGGGGGGGAAATTTTCGGGGGCCCCAGTGGGTTTTAAATAAAAGGGGGGTTTAAGGCACCGGGGGGTTTGGGATGGGAAAAGATAGAAATTTTTAAAACCCGGGTGGGGGTTTTGTTTTGGAGGGTTTGGGTTTTCAATTTTTTAAAAATTTGGGGAAAGGGGGAAAAGGTACCTGGGGGATTGGCAGAAAAAGCATGCATATTTCCCTTTTGAAAAAAGGCAAAGGGGATAAAAGAAAGTGCAAAATTTTAGGGGGAAAAGGGTCTGTGATTTTATACCTGGAAAAGGGAAAATGGTAGAGTTATTTATTAAAAAGAAATTAAGGGGTAAGGGAGAAAAGGAAGCAATGAACAAGGGGGCTTTGGGAAAGGTAGGGGTGTGTGGGACGGGGTTTTTTTCAGGGGAAATATATAAGTGAACAGTTTTTTAAGAAAAGGGCAAAAGAGGCCCTTTTTTGGCAATTAGGGTTTTGGGGAAAAAAGGCGTTTTGGACAGGGTGGTTAGGGAGGAAAATTGGGGAGATGTTGCAGGGTGTTTTTGTAGGAGGTAGGTTACTAAAAGTTTTTGAAGATTTTTTAAAACGAGGATAGTGAGGCTAAAGGGTTAAAAGTATGAAAGGAAAGGGGAAAAAATTTTTTCCCAGTAAAAGTACCCCCTTTTTAGACAAGGATGTGTGATGTCCCCGGGGGGTTTTTTTAATTTATTTATAGAAGGGGTTGTAAGAGAAGAAAAGGGCGAGGGTTTTGGCCCAAAAACCGGGGAGTTAAAGAAAAAGAATCACACATAAAGGGGGGAAATTTTGTCACAGTTGCTCTTTTGCTGATGCACTTGCTCTTGGGGGATTTGAAGAGAATTTGGCAGGATTGGTGGAGAGGGGGTTTTGGGGTGTGCAAAAAAAGGAAAAATGAAAGTGAATACAGGAAAGAGAAAGGGTTTTATAGGAAAACCCAAAAGTTTAGGTAAAAAAAGGGTTTGGATATCAGATTGGGGGGAAGAGATTATGGAGGAGGTAAATGTATTCGATTTTTTGGGGAGGGGAGTGTCAGCGGAGGGGTCTATGAAAGATGGGTAAATTTAAAGAATTGATGGGGGGGGGAAAAAAGGGTGAGGGGGCACTTATTAGTTGTGGAGACAAAGAACTTTGCCCTTTGGAGGCAAAGAGGGAATTGTAGGGAGATATTTTTTTCCCCAACGCTCTTTTATGGGGTGAAGAGGGGGGTGTTGAAGGGTTTGCAGCGAGGAGAAAGCGGAGGCAGTGGAAATGTCATGTCTGGGGGAAATGTGTGGTGTGAAAAAAAGCAGAAATTCTTTATTTTTGGAATTTTTGGAAGGGGGTGCGGGTTACCAAAACGTTGTCCAAGGGTGGGGAAAGGGGTTAAATTGTGGGGGTTCGGAAAGGGTAGGGGAAAATGGGCGAAACAGAATGACTTCAAGAGTGTATCAGTCTGTAGTAAAAAGGAAAGGGGGGGGGTAGGGGTGGGCCCTTTGGGAAAGGTTGGAGGGGGGGGGGTAAAAGGTTTTGGTGTGAGGGGCTTGGTTTCCCAACCAGATGCGTGAGCGTGTTTGACAGGATGAATGGAGGGGCCAAAAAGGGTTTTTAAAATTGACGTGCTGTTGGGTGTGAGCAAAATTTAAAATTTTTGAAGGGGATTCAGGGGGAAAATGGCAGGCCCGGCTTGAAATCCTGGAGGGTGGGAAGTACGGTTTCCCGCCCTCTGAAAGAGGGGGGGTTAAAGTTTTCAGTTTAAAAATGTAGTGAAAAGCACCCCTTTTTGGCAAGACAGGAGGGGGTGAAATGATGGGAAAGTTTTTCTTTTTCGGGCCACCCTGGGTTTTGGGGGGAATCCCGGGCCCGTGGGGATAATAAAAAAAAGTAAAATTTCCCCATTTTACGGGGTTTCATATTATCAGTATTGTACAGAACCCCCCCAGAGCCTGACAAATCTCTTGGTCTATTTTTTTAATTCCCTGATTGGGGGATGACACCTTAGTTTTTGCTGAGCTGCAGTTGTTCAGCAGCTAGGAATGCCCCAAGGGATTTTCAATACTGCGCGCAAAGTCTGAACTCTATGATGCCTCTGCTGGAGGGCACAGCGTCAGGGAAATCAGGACTTAGACCCCGGGTTTGGGGTTCCTACTTTATATTCCAAATATATTCTGTTTAACCCTTCAGTGATTATCATTCGTCATCCTCCCCCTTATGACCCTTCACATATAACATAACCCCCAATAGCCTCATAACCCACAAACCATTTAACTAACCCTAACAGTATCTAGCAACCCCAAAAAATTTATCGTAACATAAAACCCTAAAAGTCATCGTAACAAACCCCAAAATTATGTAACATAAACCCCCAAAAGTTATCGTAACATAACCCATAAAGTATTGTGCATAAAACCCCCAAAAGTCATATAAAAACCACAACACGTAACATGACCAACCATTCATCGAATAACCCCCCCAAAAAGGTGTAACATAAAAACCCCTAAACAGTCATCGTAACATATCCCGCAATAGTCTCGTTACATCCAATCACGGTATTGTGTCTTTGGTTATTTATTTTAAAATAACCCCTTTTTTTATCTAACATATTCCAAACAGTATGTAACAAAAACCCCCATAGTTATCGTTTAATCCCAAAACCCTCTGTAACAAACCCACAAAAAGCATCATAACGGACCTCACCCCCACAGTCATGGTGGCAACGCAGACCGGTGTGGGAAATCCGGTTTCCCCGCGACACCTCGAGCGGAAAATCCTGACGTCCGAAGTCACATCATGGATCTTGACTTTCCCCCTGTTCGAAGCAGCTATGTCTATGTCAAGGGGGGCGCCTTAAAATGGGGAAGTTTTAAGGAGGGGCTCAGGGCTCCAGCGGTAGAACTCGCGAGGCCCAGTACCACTTGAGAGCGTAGATGCTCTCACCCTCATCCACAAACTCACACTCGAGCCAACCCCCTTTCCCCCTACCGCTAAGGGAGTCGGAACTCTAACCTTGGTGATGTGAAGACCAACAATAACATCTGCAAATAGAAAATTTAGGATTAATTTTTCCCTGGAACTTACAACATTTAATAGGAAAAAAATATTCTTTATCATCAGTGATACCTTAAAACTTGTTTGGTTTAAATACCATCGACTGCACGACTCTTAAGTCGTGGTTTACCTTACACTAACATCATGAATACCTTAATTCAAAAAATATATTAAAGTAAACTTTCATTTTTTTTTGCACTGACTTACGGACACACGATGTTTCTTATATAACCTGATCAAGATTTATTATTTTAAATAAAGGGCGTATAATTTAACAGGCATAAAAAGAAAATTTCTACTGTTTCCCGTGTCTTTGATAAATAGTTTCCTGGGTATTATATGTCTTACATCAAAGGGACAAATACTTGTTTAAAGTGCAACACTTATTTTCAAGAAGTTCGACCAAAGAAAGGTTTTGTGCCCAGCACTGTCTTGCACGGTGTAAATGGCTATTTTTGTGGAAAAGGGGAAGTATAGTCCTTTCTTCACAAAGGGGAAAACGAGAGGCAGAATCAGCAACTATGGATCAGTGTCACTCCTGTCAATCACTGTCTTGATCCTTAAGAACAATAATCTCACGGCAGATGAGAGAGTTTTCGATTACCCTTCACTTTGTGACAGTCAGAATGGCTTCAGAAAAGGTTACTCTGCTTTCTGATCTGTTGTTAACCCTCTCCACTAAGTGGCACCAATCACTGGTCCAGTGCTGGTGCTTTCGACCATATATGGCACCAGGGACTCTTGACAAAACTGAAAGCGCTGGAAATTGCAGGATCTACATGTCTCCTCAGTGATTGCCTTCAAGTGTAGTTCTCAAAGGGACAGAGTCAGTAAGATATCCTATTGAGGTAACTGTTCACAGGGAAGCCTGCTTGGGCCTTTGATATGGAATGTCTACTTCAGTGACTTCTGAATCTTTTCTCGAATCCCATGCTACGTAGATGACTGCACTCAGCTGTCATTGATGTAGAACAGTGCTCTGTGCTACATTAATAAGGGCTAAAAGCTGTATCAGCATAGGGAAATCGATGACGAGGTAACATTCGCTCCCGAGAAAACACAAATGAAAGATGATGTTGTTACCTGAGGGCGAAGTTGATATCCTTGGGGTGAAATTTGATTCCAAACTGACATGAACAATATCGTTGTAAATCTTGCAAACAGTGTGGTCAGAAAGCTTACAGCACTTCGACATATCTCGCATCTGCTCGACAGTAGAGGTTGCAAGATTCCGTACGAGGCACAAGTACGCTCACACCTTGAGTATGCTGCACTTTCTAGAATTGCCGGCCCCCCATATCATCTGCAACTTCTTGACAGAGTAGAGAACAAAGGCAAGAAGCCCATCTCTCGCCTGGATCCAGCCTGGATAGATCTGTCATTTCAC